TTCTTGCTGGCCTCTATGCGTACATAATACATAAATGAATGGATATTAGATTGTATGTGTGTGTGTGCGAACCCATGCAGGCAGCAGCTTTTTCCGCTAGAGTGTGCGCTGAACACATATCGCATAAGAGCAGCATCACCATGCTGCAAACATTGCATAGAACTGGTACCTGCCTCCATCTTTACCCACCGACTGGTTGGCGCACAATCAGATGCAGCGGTCGATGGGTACAATGCAATGCAGGCTGTGCGATTATTGCTCCACCAGCGATATCAGGACGCAAAGTTCAGAGGTAAGACTGTGCACATCCAGAAGTGTGCGGCGCCGTAAACCAAAAGACCATCCATCGTCCCGCGCGCGAAAGAGGCGGTCTTTTCTTTTCTCTCCCACCCCCTGGATCGACCGTCTCATGTGGTCCGCAGTCGCATAATGCTTACCCGTGCGCCGCTTCTCCATGTGAGAGCACGACTAAGCCGTGAGGTCGTTCGTGAGATCGTTCATTGAAACTGAGCCACGTGCGCCCCAGACGATCGCTCACCCTTTTCTTGGGGTGAGTTGCCATCCTTTTCACGAAATTAAATTTATTTTTAAAATTTAAGACTGTCATCGCTGGGCTGGAATGCGACGTAAAGGTGTGGGAGAGGCGAAGGGGCCCGAATTTAGAATCCACCAGCCTATTGCGGGTAGCTCAGGGTCTGGAAAAGCCTGGGCTGTCTAGTGAGTTGACAGCCCACCACACCCAGAAGCGATCGTGGCGAGCTCTCACATCATAAGGACCTAGCCATGGACAGGAGAGGTGAGTAAGGCATGCATACACCTTCCATGCCAGGAGGGGACGGAAGTGCCAGGACGCTCCACTCCCCTCTCGAGGGCACGGCATGGGACGGTTCGGTGCGGCGAAGTGCATAAGAGAAAAAAGTATGATGGCATCCATGGAGGATCTGTACATCTGGCTGATGCAGGTCAGCAACGGTAGAGCAGGAAGAGAAGGGACGAGACCGCATGGAACGCCCAGGCATTGGCTCGAGTGGCGCTCAGCAACTGTGATGGAGTGTCGTGTGCATGCAGCCGACAGCGCGGTACCGAGCATCAGGCCCGTATTCAGAGACGGGGCCTGCAATAGTGCAGAAACTGGAGCGTCCGGCGCCCGGTCAAGCCCTGAGAAGCAGCCACCCGCAGATAGTTTCTCTGTGCAGGAGACAGCCCGTGCTGGTGTGATGGATGGAAGCCACCCTCACACAGCCCTAGCTGCTAGCTCAGCCCGCCTTTTCCACCTTGGATGTGTTTCACAATCGATGGCTGTCTCAAGCCACTGTTGCTCTCGGAATAAGTCCTTGCTTTCCTGCATCCTCATCGCCTCTAGTTTCGTATCAAGTCCTCACCGACGTCACACTCACATCAAGACAATAAGGAGCGGGCTTCGACTCGTAGAGGGGGGACCAACAGCCAGGTCCATTCAAGTCGGCCGGGTTGGGGGCGACGGGAGGCAGGCGAGCGCAAGGCGAGGTACTCGTACCTGCGCTAGAATGCATCGCGAATATCCGCTCCGAGCACTGGCGTAAGCTGATGGGCAAAGGGCTCCATTCAGCACAGTATCTGGATCTTCTAAGACGCGCATTGACGTCTTGGGCCGGGTTGGGTTTTCTCCCCTTGGCTCCCCTCCCATCCATCCCACGGCCAACGGTCCACCGCCCAGCTACTCACCCTGCAAGACGTGGTGGGTGCCGACCTTCTGTTCCTGCGTCGCTTTGCTGGAAAGACCCCGCCGATCAACAAGCCATCCGCGACTTAGACCACATTGGGCTGCAGGTCACCACCGTTTCGAGACACACTACTGGTATTTATTTTCCGCGACATGATGGCAGAATGAGGAGATTTTTGGCCAATTAGCAGGACTAGGCTCTCGATTTAGCCAGCAAATAGTGCAGTAGGTGGGAAAGTAAAAGGAAGGGTCCAAGGGAAAAGCAACGAGAGTGAAGAGACAAGAGTCGATGAACTAACCATGACGAAGCGTAGTGCCTCTGATAGCGCGGTGCCATGCATGCATGATGGACTGGCTGCATTTTCTTCTTTCACTGCTTTCTCTTCTCTGTTTTTCCCGGCTGGAGGGGCCGGTGGGGAGCTACCAACCGAGCTGCGATGCATGCATATGAGGGCCCTTCAACAGGCTTCCAAACCCTCCCAACCTTTCCCTCCAGACCTAGCGCGCGGCCTTTGGTAGGGAGGGGAGGGCAGCTCCTACCTACCGAGGTGGATAACTGCCCAAACAGGTGCCGTAGGGGTTGACCAAGCCATCGGAATGGCTGGTGGCGCCAGGTAGTTGTGATAACGCCAAAAGGGGACCCCAGAGTCTCTGCCCACCAACGTCCTAATCCCGTAGCGAGGGTATATTGTCACAGCTGCTATAACCTGCTCTTGTCACTCTGCCGGCCAAATGGAGGTGAGAAGAAGAATTTGACTACGGGCAGCACTGACCATTTGCGCAGTAGAGCCCAGGCCAACGCCCCGCCTCGTCCCTCTCAGCGGATGGGAATGGTACTCTTTCTAGGATGTTGCTTGTTTCCTGCAGGTCGCGGCTTCTGGCACATGTCCCGATTCCACCGCCACGGTACACATTGGCTGCAGCTCTATCACATATCCTCAAAAGTCGCGGATGTGACCTACTTCGGGGCGTATGGGAGGGGTATATGCCACACCTGACTCCACACTCTCCCCAGAGCTGCGAGAATTAAACATTTCCCTCTGCCTTGGGAGACGGGGCATGCAGAAGTGCGTGGCAGCCGTTCAGAGGGTGTTGATTGCCGGGGGGATTTCTCTTCACATCTTATTAGAGCACTGATGGGAGATGGGACAAATCGCACTGAAATTTACCATCGGTTATAACGTTCTTTTGGCGTTCTCCACCGGAATGGCACTATGCCCTCAGACTACTTTAGCGTAGCCTGTAGCACATGGGATGTTAGTCTCGGTACTGTATGTTTTGTCCATCGCACACCGCTGGGAGTCTGAGACGAGGGAAGGGGGGATAGGGTGATGGGGGGAAGAATCAAGCCACGAAGATCTTGTCAATGGGCTAGCATGGAAAGGGTAGCAATCGTACATGGAAGTCCATGATGGTGTCGGATAAGCTCCATGTTTTCTTCCGAGTGGATGTGATGTGGTGGTTTGAATGATACCCTGACTAGCCAGGCTCAGGTACCCTGACGGGACTAAACTGGTGTGACGACATGCTGGAGGGTGCTTGCCTCCTGTAGCTGGGTTTGCTGTTGGCCAACTCGAGGTGCTGCGAGCGATGGACGTTGTTATACATGGTCAGTAATGAGTCGTCCTTTTCAATTCTGATACATGGTGAAGCTCGGGCTTGACCTTATCGTCGTGTAGTTTTCCCTTTCTCCCTGTTGATGGGACTTGGCCAGTCGATTCCCTTGGCGACCCTCCAATATCTTCGATGTTTATATGCCGTTCGTTCATGCCAGGCCATGCCTCACATTTCCGTAGAGTTTGCTGTCCCCAATACGACATCTTGTGTCAAGGTAGCCTCCCCCCTCCCAACCACCTATTCTCCGCGCCGTGACTGGCTGAAAATATGATGTTGGGCCAATCCCAGCTCACATTTTGGGAGGCATCGGGCAATAAGCTTCTACACCCTCTTCACAGGTGGGTGGGTGGCTGATACGCGGGCAGGACAGACTGTAGGTTAGGTCCCTCGGTGGTGGACGGGCAATTAGCTGGAGGTACGGTAGTTACCCAAGGGAGCGGACGCGACCGGTGCCCCTGGAGCGATGGATTCACGATGGCCCATACCCGTTGCCCGAACCCAATCAACTGCACGTCGACCGCTTCACCTCGATCCGTAACCTGCTATGAGACGCCAATCCCCCAGATCATCCTCCAGGCCTCGGGCGGCCAGGACCGGGAGGGCAGCTGTCGAGGGTGAGGGCGAGGCGAGGCGAGGGCAAGGACCAGGACCAGGAGCTCAGACGGAGGTGAAGAAAGCGGGCCAAGCTCAACAGCAAGGCGGGATGTTATCGAGGAGCGACGTTGCTACCCTGAGAGACTGCAATGGCCCGGCAGGTAGCACCTCTAGCAACTACCCCCGCACCACTGGCATGGCTCTGCGACTAGCCACTCTAGGGGAGCCCAGGGACTGCAAACTGCTCACTCGAGCGTGTGCCTTTTTTATTACCCCTGGCCCTGGATCCTCGTAGCCTCGTACTAGGGATTCCTGGCTCCATCCCGGCCCAAACTGGAGCTGTCTGTGCCTTTTCTGGCCTGGTGGGATTACCCTTCTCAGCATCCACCAGATTGATGCAATTCAAGCCTCTTCCCGGGGCCCTGGTCTCGACGGACCTGGGAACCCCTCGCAACAGGGACCCCCCCTGAGCCTGAAGGTCGCGTTCATTATTGTAGCTTGTTATTATTCCACCACTACCCCCGTCGTCCTGGGCGAGGGTGCATGGAGGTGCATGCCTGCTCTCTCTATCCCATCTCCCCACAGCATCAGTCCATTCTCTGGCTCTTTTGCCTGGCTGCGCGTGCTGTGAGCTCCTGCCTGTATACATACCTTATAGTGCCATACTTTCCTTGTCGTGGGCTTCAGACGTGTTGGCTCGCTCCTTCTCCAACGCAATCCCTCCCAGCCGATTGTCCATCCCGCCTTCCGCACCACCTTGCTCCCCGTCCTTCCTTTTCGCCAGACTTTGCCTGGATTCCAACCTGAATCCTCCAGCCCGATCCTCGATTCAAGTCTCACTTAGACTCGTTCTCTCAAATTTTTGGGTGGTGAAACCTGCAGCTACCCACCCGCCCACGCAATTTAGGCTCCGGAGCTGGCCCTCGTCAACGGACAGCCGAGACATATATGATACACAAGGCGCCTCCAACTGGGAACACCTCGACCACCCTGGATCGCAGTGTATAATAGCCCTCCAGAGGGCACGCATGCTCGTCGCCCTCTGCTCCAGCGCTGAAACAAGCCGGTTTGCTCGTGTACCGCCGCAATGCCTCCGTCTGAATTTGAAGGGGGACGTCGACGCGTTGCCAGTAGGGACGGTCTGAAGACGTCCTTCTCTAAACCGTTCACGTCGCACGGTCAAAAGCCCTCCTTGACCTCAATAAGCCCAATTGAGCCCTACAACCCTGATATCGACTACATGATGGAGCCTGCCGTTGATGGTCCACCCTCGCCTGAGCGCCTTCGCCAGCTCAGCAACCAGATGAAACGAGCTTCAAACATGAACCGGACCCAAGGCCACCGAGCCGTTTCGTCTTCTTCCTCGCCTCGCCGTGCCATGGGCATTGATAGACCCCAATGGGAACAGTCAATCGAGAACGCATCTTCTTTAACCCGCCGTTCTTCCAGCCGTTCTAGCGATAGCAATGCGCCTTCTCGAGGTCGCTCAGAGCGAGAGAGCGTGCAAGCACTTGGCCGCAACTTTTTCCAGCGGAGCAACACCGCAACTTCTCAGATGTCCAAGCGCGCAAGCAGCCCGTACAGCTCGTCTGGCAGCTCCATGTACTCGGCTGAGGTACCTAACGAGACTGGCTTCAAAGATTCAATCATCCCCAATATTTTCACGAGGAGAAAGCAGTCGCGTGATGACAGCGCCCAGAGAAAGCTTCAGATATCAGGCCCTTTCAACTTCCAGCACGTCACACACACGAATCGGGGCCATTTGTCCACCATTCCGTCAGATATATCAGACTTGGGCGTTTGTGGCGACGCGGTCTCGTCGGCTGGCGTTCCAGGCCTTGGCCTACACGATGCTCCATTCTTCAAAGGATCATCCGAATCCCTAGACACAGAACCGTCTCTGTCGGCACCACCATCCCGGGCATCCTTCGTTCCACGCCACGCTCTGCCAGTCACTGGACCCAGAAGAATGCTCAAGACCGCTAAGTCGCAAGATCAACTTCGCTCAATGGCCACTTCACCTCCTTTATCATCGGATTCGTCTGATGTGCCTTCACCCCCTGTGCCACCCAGGTCATCGAGTCGTCAATCTGCTCTGCCAGACACGCTTGGTTCAGCAGCTTCTCGCGCAATGCAAGCGGCTGGTTTCCGCCAGCCACAGCCGTATAGCCCTAGCCTTGGCAATGATCAGGCGCCCTCCGCTGCGCCCGATATGGGGACTAGCAACGAAGACAATGATAGACGGTTCTCGCACGCCATTACTACAGCTGGTGACACCGCCTGGCCTCTCTCAGCGGCAGCTTCTCCATTGTTATATGACCAAGTGCTTGCTGACGTGCCAGAGGAGGAGGAACAGCAACAGCAGCAGAGTGCTCATGAACAATCGCGTCAGTCATTACGCGGCAGCCACTCTGTTCCAATTCTTCGAAATTTCCTGGAGCGTTCGTCGAGTGTTACTTCGGACACTCTGGGAGAAGTAGTGGCCCCACGTGCCGTTGACGCGGACGCAGGAGATGTTGGTCACATGCTTCATGATGATAATTGGGAAGATGTTATCGATTATTGCTATGAGCATGAGGCTGAAGCTAACTTCGATTACCAATGGGATCGTCCCTCAATGGATGTCACCCGCGACCTCCCTCCTGAGTCACCTAAGACAAAGAAGATGCCAGAACCTCTTGACTATGACTCGGTAGTGGCCCCTGCTTTTACTTCGACACTCTTCATCGACGAGCCGACGTCGAACTTTTCCAGCCGTGCCTCGAGCGCCGCTGGTCACACCAGCGTTGGAAACACTCCTCATTTGATGCCTACCAACAATTTCTCTCTGCCCCGTGGGGATAATCGCGCATGGAAATCAAAGAGTGCTCGCCCTACCTCATATGCCTCGACCTATAAAGAGTCTCAGGGCTTCAACCTCTCACCGTCTCTTCTCATCCCTGGCGATTATCACCAGCAGATGATGATGACAGAATCCGAGAGGTACGAGTACCAGGGAGAGAATGAGGTATACGAGGAGGCTTTTCGGGGTCCTTATCATGATGATGCGATGGGCAAAGAACCTCTCCAATCCTACCTGCAGCGATCCAGCACCTCGACGACTGAGACAGTCTTCTCATCGGATACTACCGGTGAGCGCCATGTCTCGGCCAACTCAACATTTACTACCCTTACTCGCTTGACGATGAGTAGCAGCACCACATCGCTGAACAAGATGGCTGGTATTGTAGCTGAGGAGCAATCAACCCAGTCTACAGAGAGCAAGTTGGACGAAAACGAGAAGGTCGAAGATGAGGAGTTGGGGTCTAAAGATACCGTCGGTGACCTGACGCCATTCCCCGTTCCCCCATTTGCAAAGAAGACATTCCATAAAAGTCATGCTAGTGAAAGCATCGACCGCTCGACCTTGCAAGCCCAGGAGATGGCGAAGCCCCGGCGACCACGAGCAAGAACCTCCAGCTTAAGTGCTCAGGTCACTCCACCTATTGGACAATACGCTCTGTTTCCCCGTGCACCAGTCAAAGGTACAGGAGACCGAATATAAGCACAGCATCGCACCTGCTTGTATAGTATTACACATTCACGCCACCGCGAAGCTCATTTGAAGCTTTTTGTGTGCATCATTCGCATAGCATGTGTTACCATGGTGCATATTGTACAATGCATCATTCCACGGCGTTTTCGGTCGGAACGTGTGGATAGTACAAAGAAACGAACCACGACGTTTCATTGATATATAACAACCATCAGGCGGGGTATTTGTACAAAACACACTCGTTTATTTCATTATTGGCGTTCATTATTGGCGTTGTCATCCCGGGATGGGAAGATGGGCAGCATTTCATGCTGAACCGGGGATCGAAGTTACACATTTGGGCTAACTATAATTGTGACTTACTCTGATGGATCTGGAGTATCTGTTCGTGAGTATATGGACGTGGGAAGGAAGGACATGGGATTTGGTTTTTGAAGTGAGCCGTCCCCTCCAAAAAGGCATAGACGGTCGTTATCCATTTTTTGTTTTCATTGTTGGATTATTTTTACTCCTCCCTGTCGATGGAGGCCTGTTATATCTAGAGAGGCCGATGAATGATGATGGATCATGACGATGTAGATCAAGTACATAAAAAGGTGCGAAAGGATGGACATAGATTTAAAACAAAGAGCTGCCGAGCTCGATAAAAAATTTCAAAACCATAAGAGATCTTCATCTAGGCCAAGTGACGTATTTACGTAATTGTGTAGCTGTACGGAGTACCTATCGGGACGAGCGATGGGCGAATCAAGCAGGCAAATGCAGCAGACGAGTGTCATTACGAAGAGATGTTGCTAGAATTGCTTGGTATACAGATATACAGATCTCTCTAAAACCTCGAGACTAATTGTGTTCTTCCATCCGGAACGCCGCACCCTTTCGCTTAAAGTGCCTCTAATTTTACCCTCTTTTCGAGTCCCTACAAGCAAAAGCCAGACTGCAGTAAAACCATCAAATTACAGCTCAGCCAGTCCACCCCAACTGGCGCTTTTCACCACCGCCCGGTTGACCTTAGTTGGTCTTCTTCTTCTTCTTTGGTCTCTCTTCCTCTTCCTCGTCGTCGTCATCCGCCTCATCATCGTCATCAACGCCGCTCTCGCCCTGCTCGCTCTCGCTGCCGGAACCATCACTCTCGTGGGCCGAGTCAAACTCCTCGGCGACGTCGCTTTCGCTATCGGCCTGGAAGTCTTCATCGACACTCTCCTCGTCTTCGTCGGCCGAGCCACGGTCTGCCTTGGCATTGACTACCTCCTCATCTGAGTCGTCCATATCCTGCTCACGGAGAGCCGCAGCGAGAAGGTTGGCATCCTCATCGATCTCGTTCTTAACCCGCAGACCCTTGAGCTTGAAGAAGGCCTCCAGAGCCTTGAGATCTTCCCTGTTGATGTTGCTGAACTGCGAGGAGCCAGCGCCGTTCTTCATGACGACGCTGATATCAAACGTAGAAAGGGCGGATACGGCGCCGCTAACACGAGAGAAAGTAATGGACTGCGTCTGTTCGTAGGCGATGTAAGTGGCCGGCTTGGGCACGAACATGAAGGCCTTCTCCAGACAGTAAAGGAAGCCTTCGCTAGCCTTGATGGAACACTTGATGCCGTACTGGTTGCGGTGACTATTGAGTTCGGTTAGCGCGCTGATTTCAAACTAATGGAATGTATGAAAGGGACGTAGATGTGACGTACGTGATAAAGTCCTTGGCAGGAGAAGAGATCTTCTTGTTGGCCAATCCTCGGAAGATCTTGGCCACAACGTGATGCAAGGGCTCTTCGTAGTGAGGTTCTAGCTTCTCCTTGTATTTCTGTTGTAGCTCTTCTTCCTCGAGGTTTAGGTCAATCGTCACCTCCTCGTCCTTCTTAAATTGCATGACAACAAATGGATAGCGAGTTTGACCCTGGCGAAGAGGTGGGTCGAGACCAATACACAGCATGCAGTGCATTTCGTCTGGCTTGGGAAGGACCATAAACTTCTTAATAGCCTCGTACTGGATCTTGTAATCGTATGTTTTACCACGGAGACGGAATGACGAGTCGTACATGTCGATGTCGAAACGACCTCTGTAAAGGGAGGATTAGCATGATTTTCAAAACAAGGATTGGAGGTTGAATGCCGTACCTGGGTGTGAGATGTAGAACGTCGAGGAAGGTAGCAATGGCATCGCCGGCAGTCTCTCCAATCTCGGCTTTCTCCATCAGGGTATCATAAAACAAAGTGGCGGCATTCTTCTCCTCCTCAGCTGCATCACTGGCCGCGTCCTCGCCTTCAGCCTCCTTCTTCGTCGTCGTTCCTGGGATGTAGAATCGCATCTCCACAAGCTGGTCTTTGCCTGCACCCGCCTTCTTTCCTTTGCCTCTGGCACCACCGAGATGGCCATTGGTACCAGTGTCCTCTGCATTCAAAGGTAATGATATCTCGACAGCAACCTCATTTCGGCCTGCTAAGTTTGTGTTTCCAATCTCCGAGTACGGGATCTCGAATGCGGGACGGTTTTGTACGTTGAAAGTGAGCTCAGCCTTGGAAAACTCGGCCTTGCCCCAGTTCCAGCCTCTCAGAGCATGTTCCTTGTTTTCTAACGCAGTGCTGTACCAGTTTTTGAAGACTTTGCTTAGGCGGTCGTAGTCTTCTTGCTGGAAACCGTCGAGTTGGATGATGGCCGATGAATTACGTTGGAGGATCCGGATTTCGTATCCCTTGGACGCGCGACTCCAGTGGGCGCCGCCGATGTTGCTGTGATCGAGGGTGAAGGTGTCGCCTCCACCGGCAGGCTTCCAGCCGAAACCGGTCTCTGCAAACCTGCACTTCCCGCTCTCCTTGGAGAGATCGAGATAGATGTTGTCGAAGCTCTCACTAGATGATTCGCGACAAGTTAGCTCCAGCTCTGTCGTGCGAGGATGGATGCGGCGAACGACGTCGCGGCCGACACAAAGGAGAAGGAAAACTTACATCGCAGTCATGGTTGATTGATTATCAGGCGACTAGAAATACTATCAATCACCCTTCCACAACTCGTGATGACAGGAGATGGTTGCGTGGTTGGGTTTGGCTGAAAACTGGAGATTGGAGATTCAAATTTGAGCTTCACGGTTGTCGCGCCAGTCGAGAAACTGCGGCGCGCTACAACGTGTCGACCGTGTCGGCTAAGTGGCAGGGCAGGTACAGTGGAGAGCTAGTGCTCTTAGTACTGTATACAAGAGACAGTGCTGATTGCCCTGTATTTACGTGTATTATACAGGGATATCTACGTACCAGTACAAGGCCATTAATCAGACCCAGAGTCCCTTCTGGTCAGCAATATTTCCGCTGCATGTGGCATCGATTATTTGATTGCCATCATCATCCACCTTGAATTGCTTGTTGCAAACGACGTCCATGATAATTTCTTGCTCCCATCTAGGCGGTATCGCATAATCAATCCAAGTCATGTGATCGTCTTTTTATCCTCTTTTTTCTTTAATTTTACAAACCCAGTCAATATATTTCTTCTTCTCAAATATTCGCCTCGACCCTCCGACTTTCACGATGGATTCCGAGTCGAAACTGCCTGACCATGTCGACCCGCCATCATCCAGCGATAGCGACAGCGACAGTTCCGACCATGGCGAGGCCCCAATCAGACAATCGATAGAATGGCTCGCGACCGCGCGAGAGAAACGTTCCACGGCCGGCAATCGTATGAAAGCAATGCTGGCAAACGAGGAGCCTGACTCTGATCTGGAGCTTCTCTTCGCCGAGGACGATGATGACCAAGGCTTCACTGATGTTGGCGACAACGCCTCTGACGTTCATATGGACTCCTCCTCGGATGATGAGGACGAGAACGCAGCTGAGGATGATATGGAGGGCGAGAAGGAACTGGAGCGCCAGGCTCGGGAGAAGCGCAACGCTCAACGGAAAAGGAAAGCCCAGGAAGCGATCCCCGTCAAGTTCAGGAAAAAGGTGCGCATCGACACGACGACAACACCTTCTCCAGCCCCGTCCTCGGCTTCGGGTCCGGTGCCTCGACCCAAGAAGAAGTCGGAACGCTCATCATGGCTTCCCTCGGCTGCCGACATGCCAACCCGTGCGTCTTCTCGGCAGACCACAAGGCTCTCCAAAGAGCAGCTGCATGCGCAGATGGAAGAGCGCGAGGCCCGGCGTCTCAAGCAGTTGGCCCAGATGCAGAAGAAGGCAGCCAGGATGGAGGCGTTGAAAAAACCACCCATGACACAAGAAGAGAGGCTTCGTGAGGCCGAGATTGTGGAAAAGAGAAACAGCAAAAGTCTCAATCGCTGGGAGATTGCTGAAAAGCAGAGGGAGGAGGAGAGGAGGGCGAAGCTGGCTGCACTCAATGAGAGGACATTAAAAGGTCCTGTCATCACATTCTGGAGCGGCACCAGAGAATGGCAAGACGGCGGAGCGGCCAGATATGTCGTCATGGAAGAAAAGCCAAAGAAGAAGCCCAGAGAAAAGAAGGATAAAACGAAGGGAAAGGGTAATGACAAGGACAAGAAGGATGTGCCAGAAGAGGACCCTCAGAATGCGGAGAAGGATGTGGAAAAGCAAGAAACAGGCGAAGACGGTAATAAGAACAAGGCCGAGCCTAAGGATTCTGCGGCAGCGAAACCGGCAGTTGAGGAAGAATCGAAACAAACCTCTGCCACGGGGCCATCTGAATCCGCAACGCCAGCACCTGAACAACCGGAGACGGGCAACCAGACCAGCACAACTGGAGAAACAGTAGCACCACAAGAAAACAAAGATGCATCAGCTTCGCAAGTTCCACCCGCTACAACATCGACCGGCGACAAAGCTTCATCGGCGGATAGTCTGGCTCCTCCAGTCCTTCAGCCTTGTAGTTCGCTTCCACCACAACCTAGTGAATCGAACCCTGACGATAAAGTCAATGCGCCAGTCCTCGTACCTCCCGTGGAAATGGATGTAGACCAATCTCCCTCCTCAAATTCGGGGGCAAATCATCCTAAGTCTCACATTCTAGTCCCGCCAAACACCTCTTCTCAAAGCCCTCAACCACTTCCAGACCCGGCACCAGCCACTACATCCCCAGGAGACGAGCCGTCGAATAGCAAGCCCGTTGATGCCAAGGCTGCAGGTGACAAGCACACAGTTGAAAAACCTAGTGAGGAGAAACTCATGGAAGACACACCTGCGAAAAAGGAATCTGCAAAGAAACCAGACCTATCGCCGCCGGAGAGTACACCTGAGAACCCTCCGGATACCACGACTCCTTCCGAACAACCACAGGAGAAGAAAGAAGGCTCAACCTACACCCGAAATGCCATCGTTTATCAAAATTTCGACGATACTGCCCTCAAGGATAAGTCCATCCAAGTCCAAATCCTATTTGGTCGCAAGATGAACAAATTAGCCAGTATGTTGATATCTATCCCCTTCATTCTACTACGATCATCATATGGTCATTGATTCTGTATTGAACAATTCCGCTTACACATCTCGCCAGAACCTCCTCCCCACCCGCTGTGCGTCATCACAAACCACCCAGCTCGCTACCGTGATCCCAAGACCGGGCTTCCTTTCTATAACGCGCACGCCTATGGTGAACTTCGCCGACTCGAGCGTGGCGACTACCGATGGAGCAAACTGCTCGGCTCCTGGGTCGGCAGTGGCAAGAATGCCGCTAACGGCGTGCCGGAGCGGTTCTTGAACCCGAATGCTCCAGGTCCGAAGAAGGAGGAGCCCAAGAAAGAGGAGGGTCAGCCCAAGGAACAAGAAAAGGCCGGTGAAAAGGGAAATGCTGATAAAGAGGCCTCCCCGGCGAACAAGACGGAACAGGCAGCGCCAGAGCCACAACCCGAACAGCAACAAGACCCACCCAATAACCTTAATCCTCCTGTAGAGACCAAGGCATAGCTCATGAACACCTTATGTTGATATGCTACGATTATTTTTTATGACTGAATTGTACTATATATGTATGAAGGATAGATACCCTGCTTGCACAGCCCTTTAAGAAACATCATCACACAATATATCACGGGAAATAGTCAGGCGGAACGTTTAAAGGTTTTGGAGATCAGGTTTCATGCATTACTACCCAAGACGAATGGCTCCTGGCCAATTCGACCAGTACTAAATCTTCTTCCTCCAAAAATTAAAAAAAAAAAAAAAAATCTAAGAAGAAAGCCCAGCTTGCTTCGGTCCAGTCCTCTGGACAACCCATCCAGCCTCGTGGCCATATCTATGTTCGTTCTGCCCAGCCCAAAAAAAATTACACGTAATTCCATTTTCTCTAGATTCCCTTCTATTGTCCTAAAGGGGAACCACCATTATGCCATGTTCGTCCAGATAAACCCAAAAAAGCCGTGCCTCTCACTTGCGCTACCATCCGATGGAATGTTTATGTGTTGAGGGTGAAAAAGTCATATTTGTTGTAAAACGCCTTATCCTCATGCAAATCGCTCGTCTTGAAATCTCAATCAAAATCTGAGATGTGATAAATGCCTGGGGTCCATGCCCCTTAGGCAGGTAATCAAAAAACAAAGTGGGCTGGAGGGGTGCGAGCCCACGAGAGTAATGTTGGTGTACAATGTCGTAGTTTATGATGCAGGTGAGGGGTGGTTTGGGGTTTGACCCCCGTTGATTGCAGCCAATCAGTTGTCTTTGCTGCCTACTGTATCGACAATAAGGCCCAACTCATTCAGAAAATCATCCAGACCGGTGTCGACTGGAGAGAGGAGAACCTTCGAAAGAGTATCAGCAGGGCTCAATGGCTCGGCCATGAGGCTTGGAGGGTTGAGGCGCGCACCAGTTGCCTGGAGATCAAACTTCTTCCGGTTATCACCCTGCTGAGGCAGGCTGTAGCCAGTGAAACGCGATCGAAGAGGGACAGCTTTGCGGCGAACGGAGAGCCCAGAAGCTGGGACTTCCTCATCCTCGTCGTTTGAGTCGTCATAGAAGGTGAGCATCTCCTCTTCGGGTGTCAAAGCCGAGAGCGGGGAGGCCATGACACTTGAAGCAGCAGAAGTCAAAACAGTGCTGGGCGCCTGAGTTGGGATCTCAAGCGATGGCATCTCGTTTTCACTGCTTCTTACCACAGTGTCTTGACCCCGACTGGGAGGACGCAATGTGGCCAGTGTGAGGGAGCTGAGGTTCTTGGATGTCAAAGGTGCCGACTCACGAGGAGTTGCCGGGCGCTGTGCTGGGGGCGGTGACAAGCCCATGGCAAAGGGAGGGTACTCCGAGATTGCGGATGTTGCGAAGTTATCATCGTCCTCATTCTCCTCTGCAATATCCTCGGGGATAATGAGCGTTGGACGCTCGCTGCGGTTCGATCCAGGTCTGGATGGAGGGTCTTCGGTCAAGAAACGGCGTAGCGACTCGGGGGATATCGAACGGTTTCGGCTTCTACTTGAAGAGGCGGCGCTACGGTTGTCATCACAGGCGGTGGATGGCCTCAAGCTGTCCTCGTCGCGATCCCGAGAGCGACCACGCTCGTCGTCCTTGGACTTGTGGTGAAAGAATCGCTTCCAGGCCGGTGATGGCGAACGTGATCGAGGTGCTGCAGGGCGGAACAGGGCTGGTGCGGTTCGCTTGCGAACCTCGGCACCTTCAGCCATTGAGGGAAGCATTGGCTGAGGGGGGAGGAACTTGGCCTCCGGGTTCATCGTGGTGTAGTCGGTGATTCTCATTGAGCTGAGTGATACGCTCCTCTGGCGTAGGGTTTGTTGGGTTGGAACGGTCAATGTGTTGACGGTCTGTCCAGGCATATATGGGCAAGTTGTAGTTGACGGCATTTTTTGATCATATGTTTCAATGGACCCATCCACTTCGTACTGTTGTCGAGCCAAGGATATATATATGTCAGTCCAGAGATCAAAAGTCGTATCATGCATGACAATAAGTGGAGGGAACATGGGGAAGTGAGTTGTCTTATAGAGGGAGGCGGGATGCTATAATCAATGCTTGGTATAGAGGGAGGCTACGTACGTAGTAGTAGTAGGTGTGACCCATTTGCAGGGCCCCATGTCGTGTCTTGTTCAGGTCACCGTTGCAGATGATGTCCCGAAAAAGATGACAGCCTTTCCATTGACCGGGGCCACGGCGATAGTCACGCTCCATCGGGTAGTGGGACGAAAAATTGTCCCAAGATCCAACTAGGTCAACGACTTGGACTTCGGGGTCCGTTTGACTGCGAGAGGCACAATAGTCAGCGCAAGGTCAGATTGCCAGGGTGAATTGAGAGGCAGCGACATGCAGGTTAACTGAATGGGGGCAAGGGGGCAAGTTTGACGTGGCCAGGCTGGCTGGGCAACGCAGTGACGGTCACGGTGACAGTCACCACAGCCACAGGTTGGGTTGTGCTGGCTCGTGTTTGATTATGATCAGGGAGACTTGGGTACGAGGCGGGCGCAGTGCTGAGGGTGAAATTCGAGGAAGGTTCCATCTGATCATGACGGCCATTCCGGGGAACCCTGCGCTCTGAGACGCGCCAATTTCCAAATTTGACCCCGGCAACCTTGCCTGAAGCAGAACATTCAAATTCACGGAGCTGGGGGCCATCTCCATGAATCTGAAGATCCTAGGCTGTAAATCGGGTCCCCTCTGATGACGAGCGTCGGAAATGACCGGTCACAACCAAATGACCTGAGGAAAACGCATAGATGCATTGAGAGTGCGGTGTGATAGTGGCAGGGAGGAACGTGAATGACATGGGTCGGTGGATGAGCGTTAGGGGCGTGTTAAGGCTGAGATTCGCGTGAATGTGCCCAAGCCAAGGGGTTCAGTGAGTCCATCGCCCAGCCCAACTCGAGCGGGTGTGGATAAAAATAATCCTTCCCAGATTGCATAAATGAGAGAAGAGGAAAAAGCAAGGTGCCAAACTAACCAAGGGGAGACTAGAATGCTAGTGAAGAAAAGCACAGGCGGGCAGAGAAAGGTGCGCGTAGAACACGGCCAACGAAGCTCAGGCGCTGCCCGAGTGAGATGCTGATGGCAGCCGAGGCTCAATCCTCAGCCCTTTTTTGGGTGTGAGTAGCTTGAGTGACTCTTTTGCCTGGAGGACTTGCTTTGGAAACGAAAAAGCGGGGCTTCAGGTCCCGATGAAACCGAGTAGGATCAATGTGATGATGTAAAGGGTGTGTCTCAGCCAGCGAGACCCGTATTGAATGAGAGGGAGCAATAACAAAGGGAAGATAACGAAGGAAGCGGGAGATGTCTCCAACTCACAGTAAGAAGGTAATGAGGGTGGTTGAGGGATCCATCATGGACGATGAGACAGCTGTCTTGCTGCTCATATATGCTTTCTTCTGGGCGGTTCAGATCCAAGACAGCAATGTTCGTCAGAGTGAAACAGAAACTATTCAATCCACACAGGCGCTTAGCAGGTCGGTGGCAGCCAGTCAGATGGGCCAGATCGTCCCAACCTGCGGCTGCAAGTCTCTCGTCGCGTGTTGGCTGCAGCAGCTGGCAGATTTGACAGCCAGCCTAGGCCAAAGGGGAATCCAGCGCAGCCCGAGTGGGCCAGATCCAGGCACAGTCCAGGGGCAAGTTCAATTATAGAAACCAGAACTGGCTAGCGGCACAGTCGCAGGGGCTGGCTGTTGCGTTCGCTAGACTGTCGCAAGTCTGTTTGGGCGGCGAGACCTGGCTGTCTCGGGTTGGAGATGCGGCAGCCAATCAATAGCCGGCTGCTCAGGATGCCAAAGCCCGTCGAGGCGCCGTCGGAAGAGGAAGGCAGATGGCTCTCAGGATGCCTCTTGTTCCAGAAGCAGCAGGGAGATCAGCGCTTAGCTGCGAGTTGGGCGGCTGCTGGGGTCCAGAGCGGCTCGAGTGAATGCCGCAGGATTCGGATGCGCTGTCGGCTTCCTATTGCCTGGCTGCAACCTTTCCTCGTGTTCTGTCGTAGCAACGCGGCTTGATGTGGACATGCAGCAGGGAGTCGAGCAGGTAGTTTGCGTGTCGGATCATGCGCCGGGTCCAGCTCACCAACAGTAGCTTGATGGTGGGATGTCCTGCCAGCGCGGCGATTGGCCCAGCGCAATATTAGAGCTCTTATCCTAGGGGTGGGATCAATATGAGATTGGGGGGTGAGGAGATGAGAGCGGCGGGCGGTCCGGGAAAGAACAGAGGAAGTCAATACGGCTGACGATGCTAACGGTGACGACAGCGACGACGATGAAATGCACCAGAGGCAGAGGAAGGGGAATTGGAAAATTTGAAGAGGGAATAATTTCAATCCCAGCTACGGACTATTCCAGGTCCTAACTTCAAACGACGAATGCCCCAAGAATGGCGAATTTCAGCTGGCCTTGAGCCCCTGACGCGATACCTGCGATACACCAGTCTTACTATGGAGAAGGCGGCGAGCTCAGGTACCACCAAGGCCGCCTGCAGCAACGCCCAGCCATTGGCCCCAGGCCCGCGACCGCTAAGCACCAGTTACGTCTTAGCCTTCGCTGCACGCGGCCAGAACCCGTGCTTATTGGCTGCCCAGCAGTTATGCACGCTTTTATTAATTGCATTGTAGGGTAAGTGCCTCATTTCGCTTGTTGCCTTGCCAAGCTGAACCGTCACTCTCATGGCGCCTGCATTCAGCCATGTAATTATACATGCCAGTACGTGTATAAATCGGGCGGTATAGTCGACCTATTATTATTCCAAATTATCCAATATCATGTAGGTAGATGCTCATTTGCTTTTTCCCATGGTTAGTAAGCGGATCTGCTGATATTCGCCCCCATCTATGATCTGACAGTGAGCCCTCAACTGGTGACAGAGGAAATGAGACTTTCTATGGCATAAAACTAACAAGGCAGTATTAAATTATGTTAATTAATAGTGCTTAGTGTATTGTCCTTTAGGCATTTATTAATAGTTCGACAATATTGCTCGCAGACTTGACAGCAAGTAGTATGACATTTTGAGTGCCTCAAATTCAATGTCTGTTGGCACTTGAGCCATGATCCATGCTGCTGAACTCCAAAGTCCATTCTTCTTGCTTTTTGCCCGGGCAACACGTTGGATCGAGAAATGCCACGTTTCTTGTGATGCAAACCAATCTATGTCAAATGATCCTCCTGCCTAATATGTTGCCATCCATCCCAGTCCGCGGGCTCCTACATACATACACACACGTGTGACGATCGATGCGTCGATCAAGGTGTGGCGAGCAGGCAAGGCCCCAGACACCGATGTTCTGTGTCGTCAGCATCATCGTCGTCCAAGCTGCCAGGAACAGGCTGCCAACTTCCCCCTGCCGATAGAGTCATCAGCTAACTCATAGCAGCCTGACCGCCGGGCACTGCCGCAATTAGCCAGCTCTCTAAGAGAATCCCTTTTCTCGGGCCGCGCGGGAAAACCAAGTCTGGAGCGTATCGTAGAATCCTCGGCCCCAAGACATCCCCGGGAAAGACGTGTTTCGTACGCGAGCCAGGAGGTGAGCGAGTTGTCTCACGTACCCATCTCCACTGAACCGCCCGGCCGGTGCACAGGCACAGGCGGTGTCGCGTTGATTCATGCAGTCTACCGTTCTATTTTTGTGGCTGAAGGAGGGCCTGTCTCGTAACTTTTCCTTCTGGCAGGCCCCTTCGTCACCACCAGAACACGAAGTCGTGAACGGCAGGGGAAAACTGGGCAGGCCGGCCAGCCACACGTGCGATTTCTTAATTAAGGGCTCCGCTTCAATGCATACATGCACGATCTCCCCATGCCCCTGACGCGAGAGGATGACTCAATCTGTTGCTTCTTATTTTATTCTTGCGGGGATGACCGTGGACTCCGGCACTTTGACCGGGCTCGAATCTGCCCCCGCGCGGCTTGATGAAAGAGAGACATCTACATAGTAGAAACGGAGTAATTTAGGAGCTGGAAAGACTCAGTCAACTGTCATAAAACCTGTTTGATCTAAATCGCCCATTGATCTGAACCCCTACAGATGTTTCATGCCACGGTCTTATTTCCCCCTTGTCTGTCACCAATCCCATCCAAACGCTCAATCTAGGCGCAGTGACTCTCAGACTTCTACAGACTATGACGTCTCAAGTGAGGCTTGCGAATGGGTTCGTAAGACTAGGGCTCGGTGAGCTGTCAAGGAGCAATCCGAAACGATGGCCCGGCTCACATGTATAAAACAGAGCGGTCTGTTTCAGTTCAAGTCCTACCCTGGAGCAATCCAGCTAGTTGATGAGCAGTGCCAAAGACAAAGAAATGATTGCATGGATCAGATCAACCGAACACAACCATTGTTTAATCTTTATCTAAAATAAATTAAATGAAAAACTGGGTGGAGGTAGGCTGATGAAACAAGGACTTAAACAAGATATAGATTTACGCTATTGGAGGGCGGTGTAGCAATATCCGTGTATTGTTCTGCTCTTTCTTGTGGGCTCTTGTTGTTGTTGTAATGTTTAACGCAGATTACCTTATGTAAAAGATCAACGAGAGATAGAGGGCTTGTATGGAGATATGGACCAGACTATCCCAGACTCTTGGGAATTGGGGAGTTGGAAAGTTAACCAAATCCGGGTAACTCGATGCTATAGGGTACGCAAACGAGAGTGAACTGAGATTGATCAGCACTTAACAACTGCGAATTCGCGAGAGAAGAGAGGCAGTTTTACCAAATTAGTTTGTTCGCATCATTAGATACCAGGACCCAAGTTTCCCCCTACGCAACATACATAACTGCTTCGCAAGTCCCGACCATAACGATTCATTCTGATTACCCGATGAGTCTTAAACAAAGGCTGTCACCCGAGCAAACACATATCAACGCAGGAGAACAAGAGCGGGCACCGACTAGACTTCGTCGAGCATTAACATTATCGTACAGCCAACATTGACCGAGAAAAGAAGAATAGACGCCCAAGGAAAAGAAAATGAAAAAAAGCGAAAGTTTTTCAAATACCCCGAGGCTCACACCAATACACCGCAGTAGCCAGCCAATCCAACAAGTTCTCAAAATAATAATCGTCTCCCGCACCTGCAAGGAGTACAATGCCGAGTAGGTGACCGAAAAAAGATAAACAGCCAAACCATTCCATGCGAAAATAAAAGGTGACTACCCTCCCACGATTGCGTATATCGACCAAGGGTTGAACCAAGGGGTAAAGGCTGCTGTCCTAAAAAAAGAGGATAAGCCAATACATTAACGGCCTCAAGCCGAGGCCACACCGCTTGACCAGTCTGCGGTTATAGCACACGCTCTCTATGTTTCATATTTCATTCAAATCCAAATTGTACACTATTGTCGAGGCTCAAGCCGGCAAGTTCCTCTCACATTAACCAAAAAATATTAAAAAAGGAAGGAAGAAGAGGAGAAAATGGCGGGAAGAAGGGTGTCCCAAGCCATCTGCTTATTTGGTTTTCTTTGTCTCCTTGTGGCGCTTGTTCTCAACGATGCGGTTCACGCGGTTGCCCACGTACTTGGTTCCGAGGAGGGTGTCCCAGAATGTGAAGAAGGGCTGTGCAAAGTTGGTCTTGATGCCCCAGTGTTGGTGGTGGATGTCGTGGTAAGCAGCGTTGTTGCTGGTAATTAGTTGAAGAGGGTCCCAGGGGAAAGAGTAACCGCAGTGATCGTCAACGGTCTTGATCGTTGAGAAGCAGAAGAACAATATGCCCTGGCGAAGAGTCATACCAGTGAGCTTGAAAGAGACTCCAGCGCCAAGGGTGTCAAGAAGGAAACCCTCAACTGGGTGGTTGTACAGAGCACCGTATGCATAAGGAACATAGAGGCGGTGATGACGGGAGTGGAAATGAACTGGGCAATGTCAGTACATCAGAAACGCAAATGAAGGGTTGGCTATGCTCACCATACAACCACTTGTTGACATGCATCAAGCGGTGAAGGAAGTACTGCCAAGTATCAAGTGAGATAATGGCACAGATGAACTGGATACAGGGAATCAGGAAGTAGTAGATGAGCTTGGCGCCGGTCATTTCCCAATTGGCAAAAGCAGGGCCTTCTTCAACGGTGGTGAGAAAGGGGTAATGGCCTCCAGCAAGCGCGCCAGCGAGCAATGGGTGTGCAGGAGCCATATTCTTCGAAATGGCATCAGCGTTGAGGCCGATTAAACCAAGGATTGAGGGGAGAGCTCGTTGCGCGAGACGTAGGCGGGTAGCCCAGACAGCAACGTTGTGCTCATCCTTGCCGATCATCTCGATTGGTTCATAAATGGCAAGAATGTAGCCAGTGACAATTTGAATAATTTGCTGAACGACGACATCTCTAGCGACGTCAAATCGAGAGACGTGGTTGCGCTTTGTGATCTCCTCAGGGGTGTGAAGGCGGTATTCTGGGAAGAGGTCATTGACGTCAAAGAAATGGAAGATCATAGAGATGACCCAGTAGACGACAACAGGGGCGACGACGGAGAGCCAGACGTCGGGAAACCAGGAAATGAGATCTGGTTGGGGAACGAGGGTATAGTCTGGTATAGGAGGCAGGCCGGCGTCGAGCACGGTGTTGTTTGCCATGATGCCGACGGCTGGAGAGGATTCGTTGATCATTATGGTGTGCCCAACCTAAATGTTGGCTCGGGAGGCTCGGGAAGTCAAGATAGAAGCAAAGGCGCCGACGGCAGCGCCCAGTAGGGGGATATGAGAGAGAGAGAGAGCTCGGTTTGCGATTTAAAAAGGTGAAGAGAATGTCGGGGAGACTGAGGTCGGAAGAGGTCGAGGAGGCTGCGCAATTAAGAAGGGCAGCGTTTCGCGAAGAGAGATGCCGTCACGCGAGCGAAAGAAAATAAGGAGTGAATCGGGCGAGTCGGACGGGGGTCGCGGTAGGGCAAAGGAATCAGCAGTTAGGGAATGAAATAGGATGCCGATGATGCGTCAGAATGGTAACGGAATCGGATTGAAGACGAACACCGCCATCCAGCGAGGAATCAAATTAGAAGTCCTAGGGGTGATGTTGGTTGGAGGTGAAGTGCTGCAGGGCGGCGGCACCTGATCGGTGATAATCTAATCATTTATGCGGGCATCTTGAACAGTAGTTGGCCCACTGCAGACCAGGCCTCAGCTCCCTGAACGTGCTGGATAGAGCTCGGCGCCCGGCGGCTATTGGCCACAGGCGGGCTGATCCCCACAGTTACACACAACCCGCCCTACAACCCTGAAATTTGTGCCTGGATGCAATCTCGGGTTTCTCGGGAGGCGTGGCTTGCTCCTGGCGCTCCCCAAGTGATCGCGAGACAAAAACGCGTCATGTCCGTCCTGGGAGCGAACCACTCTCACCGGCAGTCAGGCCACTCCCGACTCCGGCTGGGCAGATCGCGGCGTTCATGTAGGTATGGTCATTTCTTAAGTGCTGCTATTGCCCGAGTTGATCCCCCAGCGAGCCCCTTGCGCAGTTCATTTCGCATTTACCGCGAGCTCGGCACGTGGCGATTGGTGTGGTCTAAGGAGAGTCGCCACCTCTGCCCAATGCGCAAGCTAGTAATGGCACACAGCGCTGCAGCTGGCTCGGTTTCGCGATTACCTAGAGCGAGGTGCTAGATGGATGGCGAGAAGATATATTTAACTACGATCTTAAGTGATCATCTTTGGGAGGATCGCCTTCCCATTCTCTCCGTATTCTAGATGTTTTGTTGCCTTATTCAACCTGCTCGTTACCCTTTATGCTTCGATGCGATTGCTTCTCCGATCATCTCTTGGCGCATTATCAGTGAAGTCAGTAGAGGCTGTTTATTATGCTTGACGCTTCAGCCGATAGATCGTGGGTTGGGTCTCTATCTAATACCAGGTGCTTGGTAGCCAGGCTACTGTTGCTGACCAGATGGCCCAACGGCAATGCGTATCTGGCTGCCAGCAGGGATCGAACCAGATGATATGCCTACGCATACAGCCCCATTGCTTTAAGCATGCACTTCATTGGCAGCATTAACTCCCAAGTGAAGGTTTTTTCCGTCTTTCCATTTGAGCTCCCGCCGTAAATTTATGGATTACTTGCCACATCCAGACTAGCGTATGAAACCCCACCACCGAGCCCCTCCTCAAGTCGCTTCTGTTTTTTTTTTCTGGCTCTCAAAAACCGTCTGGCCCTTTGGATCCTCCCCGCGCTCCTCCAACATCTGTCTTCCTCATCCACTTGCTTTCCCTCTACGAGTCCATTTGATCACCTCGTGCAACTTAAACCGCCACCATGATTATTTACAAGGTACGATTGACGGAACCTTCCTCACGCCCACGCACCTTACAGTTTTCGCAATACTCTCCCAGGCTCTGCCCCGCCATGGCATTCTGGCTGACCCCGCAATTGTTCAATAGGATCTTATCACCGACGACGAGATCATCTCGGACTCGTACGACCTCAAGCTCGTCGATGACATTGTCTACGAGGCCGACTGCGCCATGATCACTGAGGGTGCTGTCGAAGTTAGTATGTAGCATCCTCGAAACCCCGCTTGCCGTCCAGGTGGATGATGGCCTGGTTAACCGTTGCTGATACCTCTCGCCGTATAGACACTGGTGCCAACGCCTCCGCTGAGGAAGCCGACGAGGCCCTCGATGATGCCGAGGTCAAGGTCAACAACATCGTCCACTCTTTCCGTCTTCAGACCACTGCCTTCGACAAGAAGTCCTACCTCACCTATCTTAAGGGTACGTACAGTCGACCCCGGCCTTGCTCTGTAGATTTCATCCTCACACCAAGTTTTAGGTTACATGAAGTCCGTCAAGACTGCTCTTCAGGAGAAGGGTGCCGACGCCGACACTATTTCCGCTTTCGAGAAGGGTGCCTCGAAATACGTTAAGGAGAAGCTCCTCCCTAACTTCAAGGACTTCGAATTCTACGTTGGCGAGTCCCAGAACCCCGACGGAATGTAAGTTGCGGGATTGCCTTCCACTCCCAAAATGCACCTCAATCTGTATGCTGACCAATATTCCAAGGGTCGTTCTCCTGAACTACCGCGAGGATGGTGTTACCCCTTACATCATTGTCTGGAAGCACGGACTTTCCGAGATGAAGGTCTAAGCCTGCACCTTACTCTTCTGTGTAGATGATGGGTGGTAGCATCCGGGATGGGGACTGTGATTTACGAAGCCCAATACTTTTCTAGCGTTGGCATAGTATTGAAAAATAACCCAGATGGGGTGAAATGAGTGCAACGAATCGGGCAAAATGAAGAACAATGAATAAAAAAAGCCAACGCAAGCAGCAATCTGCGTGCCTTCAATTCAATGACAAATTTCCAGATCAAATCGGTGACATGTTCACATAATATTGTAGATGCAAGCAAATCAAGGAACCCTTACGCCTCTAACTCCCATGCCAATCTTAAAGACTACCCACTACCCATCTACTGTATCTGCAATTTCCACCTATCGCTATACAATCAGAACCGAGGCTTCGTCGACAGGGGGATAGGGGGCGGCGCATCTCCATCATCAGCAGGAGGTGCATGTGCACGAGAAGGAACCGGCGCAGCCTCCGAGCCGCCTCCTAACCCGACCTTCTTCTTTGGCGGAGGGGGCGGCGGAGGCTTCTTTTTCCCAGCAAGCCCCGGGGAAGGCGAGTCGGTTGCACGCTGGACGGGGCTCTGTGATGCCGCACCGAACCTTTGGGGCAAGGGCAAGGGCGCAGAAGCGGTGGGCCCGGGAGATGGACTGTTCCGACTGTTCATCTTGCTGAAGCGGTTCTGGAGCTCATTGAGCTGGTTGACGCTCCCGCTGGAGTCCTGGCGAGGAGGCGGGGGCGGAGGGCCTGGAGAGGCGGCGGATCGTCCTATGCCGAGGGCAGCCACCGAAACGCCAGCCGCGCCCAACCGATTCACGGCGTTTTGGTTCAGGTAACCGTCGTCTGCCCCGTGGCTGCTGGCTCCCGAGGGCGTAACAGGAGGCGTGCCCACATTCGTTCTTGCTGGTAGGCGCGGGGGAAGGCTTGGCTGTGCAGGCTTCGGAGGCTGCTGAGGATGGGTTAGGGCGGTGTCATAGGATGGCGGGCTCCTCCCATCAGCGCCGTCTCTCCGTCCCGGCGGTGGGGGTAGGTGATTAGTCGAAAGACCTGTCGTATTGACCCGGTAGGGACCTCTTGGGGCTGCATCGCCCTCTTCCTCCTGTTGCTGGGCACTGCCCCCTCTGGGTGGAGGCGCCGGGTTGAGAGCTCTGGGGTCTTGGTAGTTTGAGGGTGATGTGACGACGCTGCGTTTTTCCTTGGTTGGGGGCGGCGGTGGTGCGAGACCGGAGCTGGTGCGACGAGGAGGGGGAGCGAAGGCGGACGGGTCCTTGAGCTGAGAGAGGGGGACGGAGACGTGGTCGTTGCTTGACGAGTCGCTGGATTTGTTGCGGTGAACCAGGTTGCTCTAGAGAAACTGGGCGGTCAGATGGCCGATAATTTTTGTAATATCACTGAAGAGAGACATCTTCAACTATGAAGGAGAGTGAGTACGTACGACCTGGCCTCGCATCTTGCCCTGGCCGGGCTTATGGTCGTTCCATTTGCTCTTGGCCTTATCTGTATATTTCGACGCCATCGTCGAGGGCCTTCTTGATCCAGGTCCACCGACCTGAGTCAAACTGAGCGATTGGGCGGCTGCGAGTCGACAGGTGATCCTCGGCGAGAAGCAGAGAGTGAGAGATGCCTGGCACAGATGAAGACTTGGCTGAGGCTGATTGTGAGCCAAAGTAAACAAGGCGACCCAACAGAGATTGACGTAAAACGGGCAGTCCCTGGCGTCAGATCAAATGTGGTGGATGTAGCTGGATGTACCAGTATCCACACAATAATCGGCGGGGCTTCGGGAGCCAACGCTGAATCCCGGCGCATGGCAAACCCCGGTTCATCAGCTAATGCAATCTTGTGTCCGTGTATTCTTCCGAATCAACGGTGTTGGGGACAGGGTTGATGCTAGGCTCGATTGCGTTGGAACTCATCTGATTGATTCTACTCTTACCTTGGAAAACCCTCGACTACATACTCAATCTCCACTGCCCTCAAGCACGAACCGCTGAGGCGCGTCGCCCTTGACTTGAGCGCGTCGCAGCCTCAACGGTCTCCATCTTCCCAATTGCACCACCACAAACTCTTGCGACAATGGAGTCGCAAACGAATTCCGATTATGAGCTCCTAACAGAGCATCTGGGATACCCCCCGGTGGTATGTGACCAACCATTGTCCCCGTCGTACGCTTAACCAAGCTAACCCCCGCCACAGTCCCTCCTCGACGACATCATCAACACCGTCAACGTCCTCGCCGACCGCGCCCTCGACTCCGTAGAACGCCTCCTCCTCTCCATCCCACCCCAGAACCTAGGTTTCACAGCCCCGAAATCCACCACCTCCTCCTCAAAGTCGCAGCAGCCGCCCCCCGAGGAGGCCGCCAAGCTGGAGATCGAGACCGGCACCCACAAGCTCGAGACCCTCGTCACCGCCTCCATCGACCGCAACTTCGACAAGCTCGAGCTCTACGCCATGCAGAACATCCTCACCGTCCAGCCCCGCGAGCTGCACCCCTACGTGCGCCTCGCCCACTACGCCGGGCTCGACTTCCCCACCGAGGAGGAGCAGGATCCCGCAGCCGGCAGCGACAAGCCCACGCTGGACAGCGTCACGGCGCTGCGCCGCCGCGTCCAGGCCTCGCAGAAGCTCAACGTCGAGCTGCGGCGCCAGCGAGACCGCAACGACGCCCTCCTGCGCAACCTGCGCGAGGTCCTGGGCGTCGGCCCGGACGGCGTGAAGCGGGAGGAGGACACGTCGGCCGAGGGGGTTGCGCAGCAGTCCAGCAGTAGTACATTTGGGTTCCTGGGCAGGGGCAGGACGGTGCTGTCGTCGATAGGCTCGAAGACGCCCGTGACGACCACGACGCAGTTCACCCTGTCGCAGCTGCAGTCGCTGCGGGCCCTCTCGGTCTCGCTCAAGGCCCTGCTGCCCGAGCTCGAGGCCGCGCAGGCTGCGGCCGCGGACGACGCGGCGGCGTCTGGGAAGCGTTCATGGCGCCGCGAACGTGCCGAGTATGTCGAGGCTGCGTCGCGCAAGTACCTCGAGAACACGGGCGGGCTGGAGCTGGGGAGCCAGGGAGAGGTGCGGGACGGCGAGTACCAGGGCCAGGGGCGGAATCTGAGCAAGGGGGATGTGGAAGGGTTGGAGAAGGCTGTCGCGATTTTGAGGAACAGCGAGGGGAGAAGTACGGAAGCTGGGGAGGAGCCTCACGATCCATCATGATGTCCATGACAGAAAGGTTTTTAACGAGGCAATGAGATAATAATCAATAGTCAAATGGAACTTGGAAAATAAACTAAAGTCAAGGCGGCGCAAAACATGATGGTCGGTTTTTTGTCTGACAACTTCTATGTTCTTAAAGTCTATGTTAATGTACATCAAGCAGTGGTATGATTACATTGAGATGCAGCCCTGCCGTTCGATTTAACAGTAAAATTGTAGCCTGATACAATATGTGCAGATATAATACAGTATCGTAATGCCGAGGTAAAAGCCGTGGCCTGCTTTAACGCTGCTAGTAATTATATTGCACAACCCGCTTCAGCGCGAACGGCTCTTTGGTCATGTCGAGCAGACCATGCGCGTGAGCCAGATGCCAGAAGTAATGATGCCATCTCCGTTCATTAACCTCTTCCTCTCGGCTGAGCAGTTCCTTAAGCACCTCATCCACAACCCTCTTAGCATCATCCATCCGACGGTCTTCGATGAGTCCTATGAGCAGATCACGGAGGCAGAATAGCCTAGTCGGGGGCCGCCCCGCCTGGCGAAGCTCATCATAAATGGCGAGAGCCCGGGGGGTGTCCCCGGTCATGGCGAAGGCACTCAGGACGTGTTCCCAGAGGCGCTGGTCGCCGGTGTCGATGCCGGTGAGGCCGTGCTTCTCGAGGAGCTTCTGGATTGCCGTGCTGTCGTGCAGTCCCCGTTGCAGGTAGCGATCGATGAGGATCAGAACCATGTGCGGGGAGAAGCTGGGGTGTCCATGCTGACGCATATGTTTCTGTACGGCTTCGATGGCTTCCTCGGATCCATTTGACAGTGACGAGACGGCGAAGAGCATCTTTCCATACATCTCCATGTTTGTTTGCAGGCCGGCGCCCTCGATGTCAGCGAAGACAGTGTTCACCGCTGCCACCTGTTCGGCAGCCGTGGCGTGGACCAACGACCCGAGAACCTCCTCAAGAATAATGGTAAAGGTTGCGTTGTCAGGCTCGATGCCCTGGGCCGCCATCCCCTTCAACAAGTTCTGGACGCCGACATGGACGTCGGCACGCTCCTCCTTTTCCCTGAAGGTTTCGCGCAGGATGATGTTGTATGTCCGGACATCAGGCTTGATACCTTCTCGGCCTGCCCACTCCAGCACCTCATACGCTGCCTTCTTGTCCCGCCTGATGAGGCCATGGAAGGCGCCGTTGAAAACCTCAATGGTAGGCTGGACAGCCTGGTGCGGGGCGCGGCGGCTCACGGCATCCTTCCATAGTTTGAACATGTTCACCAGGGCGGCAATGCCGTCCTCTGGTTTGCCTAGCTCGATGAGACCGGAGATGCGCTCGGTCCAGGCATGTGTGTCGAGCTTGACCTTGGCGTTGATGAGCATCCCCCACAAGGCGTCGATCTTCTCGGCATCCTTGGAGATCTTCCACCCGTTCATCATTGCGGTGTATGTTTTGAGAGTCGGCTCAAGCCCAATTTTGCTCATCAAGTCGCTGGTCTCTTGGAGCATCTCTGGCCGACGGGTCGCGCACCAAAGAAAGTGCCAGTAGTCAAGAAAGTCGGGATTCTCCCGCATCTGGATGATGAGCTTCGGCCTGTCCTCCGAGGCCGACATTAGATCTCGCCATATCGATATGATGGCTCTGACATTATCAGCCTTGTGCGCCTGACGGACCTGCCTCGAAAAATTGGCCAGCAAATCGACTGCTGATCTACTTTCGAGGCCTTGCCGCCAGGATGCGTCAGGTCTAGTGAGGAAATCGAGTACCTTGAATGACCAGGACTTCCCAGCCAGAACCCTTAGCCGAGTGGTATCCTGGACAGGATAATCACTGCTGTTGCAAAGGAACCTGTCGATATATGCATTATCAACCTTGCAATACCTGACAGCAACTTGAACGACCTCGAGGAAAGGAGCTGCAATGTGTAGCCGCCTTGGCCGCAACACGGTGGAGTCTGACATGACGGCCATTGTGCTGAGAACGGCTGGGATGATGGCCTTTATTCGCGTAATCTCATGTTGGTTAAAAATGGCAGAGAATGCCTTCGTGGTATCGTCCACGGCTAAAGACGTGGGCTTATCATTGGGTTTCTTTTCTTGGAGAGCCTTGATATCCTTCACAATCTCTTCTGGAGAAGGAAAGACGAACCGTAGCGCCCGATACCTCTGGCTGGGCCGGCCCATCTGGGAAACCATCTTCCACAGGTCAACCATCTCACTCAACGCCAAGTTGCGCCGGGTGTAATCCGTCTCGAGTTGAATGACAGTGCAGAGGCCGACGATCATTTTGTTCGCGAGTTCCAAATCTCGATTGTTGAGAAGGAGGGACATCCTCAACAAGGATGTGTAGGCTCCGGCCTCGAAGTAGTGTTTGAAAACCATCTGATGGGTTACCACGTTGATGATCTCATTAGTCAGGAGGTAGAGCTGCTTGGGCAATGGCTGCCCGAGAGCAAAAACATGAGGCCAGATGTCTTCTCTCAGTATTCGATTTCTCTCCGCCACAGGCGTCGCCTTCTGCCTTTTCAGATCGTTGATTATCGCAGTAATCTCCCAGGACTCAAGCATTGTCTTGCTCCCCAGAGCGGTCCCGGCGGATGGCTTGCTAATCCCCGTGTTTTTATCATCTTTGCTGACAATCTCGTTGAAGAGGGCTATATGATCAACAGGCTGTTTCCGCGGGAGTTTTCTCTGCCGTGACAGCTGTCCCGGCTTTCTATCCGGTTGAGGAACACGGCTTCTCGGCGAGTTTGCTCCTCGGACGGCAGTGGCAGTGGGTTTGGGGGCTTCATGACTCTCAACCAAGGTCGTGAACCGGGCTACGGTAGCAGGCCTCTGGGAAACAGAGGATGCCAGATGTGAAGTGCATCTTGAGCAAAGCGTCCTAGAAGCGGACATATTGTCAAGCCACCACCGCAATGCCGCGAATTGGGACCAAGCGCCTAATTTATACTAGAGACGAGTATGGAATCATTGAAATTCCATTTATTACCTCTCTTGAGGCGATAGATATGTGTCGTATGGCCTATAAACGCGCTGAATTTCTCGGTTCTAGAGAGACCCTTTTTTCGGCGTTATCGGGAGGATACATAGAACTACCACCCGATAACGGCCAGCCAATGAGATATTGCTATGCGTGTAACGTTTCCCCACATGAAGTCTTCAGCAACCGCACTACCAACACTAACATCACCCGAAAGGAAGTCAAGAGAACTGCAAGTCAAATACAGGCATGAATATCGGTACAATTTGGTTCTTTTTTCTAGCTCGTTTCCCACACGTCATGTTCGTGCTATGCTATCCTTCTGAGTATGAAGGCAGAA